GGGCTTGAGCCAACTGTCTACAAGCTACAGAGCACAGCTTCTGAAGCTCTGAAGGGAAAAGTTTGCTATACAAACTACTTTCTAACCTTGACTGTCGTTAAACAACTTAAAATGGCAGAACAGCCTGTCTAGGGGTAAGACATTTTCTAGGTATCACATCTGTTCCCTCTCAAAGCACTCTCTCCTGTTAAAAATCAGTCTCCTTATATACCCACAGTAATATGAGGATGCTGGTTCCTGAGTCTGATAACCTCAAACAAGGGATTGAAACTTCTCTGGACTTCCTGACTAATAGAGAAGGAAACCAATGCTTGTGGGTTCAGTTCAACCTGTATTTACTGAGCACATTCCATGCCGGGTATTCTGAGTACAAAACTAAATTAACCACAGCTCCTCAAGAAGTTGACTATGTAGTGGTTTTAGGCAGACCCTGTGCATGAGGAAGAAATTACAGGAAAAAGAAGCTGAAGTAGAAAAAATGGGTGAAGGAAGCGAAAAATACGGAATAAATGCGAGTTAGCAGGAGTGGTCAGCTCTCCTGGATTACTTTCTCCTACTACGGCTGCTCCATCTCCATCTCCTTCCAAGACTCTCCCTCCTCTACTCAACTCTGAAGGGTCTGCCACTTCTTTTTCTCTCCTGGATTGCCTCATACCCTCACCCAGCTTTAACTGGCCTCAGCTGATGATTCCAAAATCTCGTTCCTCCAGCCTGGATTCTCAGCTGAGTTCCAGACTCGCAGGTGCCTCTGCCTGCTCAACATCTCAACCAGCATCTCAATGTCAGCACTTCCAGAACTGAACTCAACATACACCTCTCCTTATCCCCTTCAAACCTACCCTTCCTTTTACGTTTCCTCTCTCTGTTATGGTCCCCGCCATTTACCAGAATCCTGACTATCAACCTGGAGCCCTGGCCAGCCCTTCCCCCAACACGCCACAGGTACATCCTGAATACCTCCAGATTCCACCCACTTTTCTCCGTCCCCATCCAATTCCAGGTGACCACCGCCTGCATCACAGCTACTCCTTTCTAATCATTCTCCAGAGCTTACTCTTTGCATAAAACAATACCATACCCCTGTTTCAAAACCCTTCACTAACTTCCCTATTACTTCAGGACAAGCACAAAAACTTGAACAAAACCCCGTATTACATGGCCCCTGGTTTCAGCCTTTCCTCTACACACTTTAGGCTCCAAATAGATCACCTGCCTCATGTCTTTGGCCGTGTCCAGTTCCTTTAATGGAAGTCTTTTCCACCTCCTGATAGGACCACCCTGCCCCATCCTTCAGGTGTCAGCTCAGACATCACTTGCCCTGGGAAGCTTTCCCTTTGCTGCCTTTCCCATTGTCTAGAGCACCCGTCACTTCCCCTATCAGGCCTGTTTTCTTACTGGTATCAATACAAGGGTAAGCTCCTAATACACATGTGCTTGGCACTTGTCTTCGATATTGAGTCATCAAATGATTGTATGGTCTCACAGGGCACAGTTTATTCCTGACATTTTATGAAATAAAACATCACTGGGATTTCCAGTTAGGAATATAACATGGGCATTTGTGTGGAATAACCAGTTTCTTCCTCTTGCCCTAGAACCAGGCAACCAAAGGCTGGGTTTAATTAGAACTCTATTCTTCATGGGCCATACATAGTGTTTTAAATTTAAAATATCATGTGGATACTTGAAGACTCCACAGCTTCCTAGTAACTAGATTAGGGGTTTTCCAGGACAAACCTCCTTATTATAACAGACTAGTTATTAGAGCATGGTTTTACGTACACATTAAGTCACACAACCACTCTGAAGGTTAAGCTCCACTGAGGCTCAGATGAGGGAACTGGAGCCCAGAGATGTCATATAACTCGCCCAAGGTTAAACAACTAGTTGGTGAGGAAACCAGAATTCACACTCAGGCAACATGTCTCTAGAATCTTAGCCTGGCCTGTGGAAAACAATGTTGAATGACTGAGTGACTGAATGAAATCAGTAAACTGTACTAGATCAAGATGACCCATTTGGGATCATATTAGAAAACGGGAACTTGATAATCCCAAATGTATTCATATTTGATTTTGACTTACATTTTGGGGGGAACATATAAACATTTTCAAAACTCAGGCACTATTAATTCTCTTATGGGGTAACCCCAAGGAAAGACCTCTTGATCTGTATCTATTTCTGCTTCATGGGAAGGTGGGCTTGCTGGCTGAACTCAGATATCATGCTAGGGACGTGCTTTGAGAACGCACAGCCAGCATGCATTAAAACAGCTGAGAAGTAAGGAGCGAAGCCAGGCCAGAGAAGCTGGCAGACTTTTTTGCGGCTTACCTCCCGCAGCTCCAGCCTTTGGGCCACGGCCTCCAGGCTCTCCTGGCCAGTGCTCTCCACAGACAGGGTGAACTCCACAAACTCGTTATTGAGCAGTTGGATCCGCGCAACCAGGCAGCTCTTGCTGGACACCGTGTAGCGCCGGGTGCGTTTCAGTTTCAAACCAAATGGCAGTGGCATCTTCTCTCTTCAGGAGTGAAGGGGTAAAGAGGGAAAAGCGCCGCCAGCAATGCAGTGGTGGTGATGGAGGAAGGGGGCAATCCTTTGCTGCCGGGAGGAGTACTTTACAGTCTCCCGCTGCTCACCCAGCAGCTGCTGCCTCCATTAAAATGCAACTGAGTCTCCAAAGGCCAGGTGAAGGGAGCATCCACGCCCGTGCTGAAGAAAGAGGAACACTGGTTACATGGGTAATGGATTTTGCTTTTAAAAGTAAAAATCAATACAGCTGTATCCAAATAAGTTTTCCCTCTCCTCTGAAAAAAGAAGGCAATAGCAAGATCTGGGTGGCAGTGGGGAAGTTTATCATCTCAGCTGTGTTAGACCTTGGGTCCAGCCTCTACTCTCACCGGTTCCTACAAACGGTGGTTAACACTACCTGTGGCTGTCTTCAGCACCGAATGAAATCATGGCTGGCACTACTATAACCCCAAAATTAGTAGCTAGCATTAGTGGTCCCCTTTCTATGTTAAAATTTATACATATATATATACATATGTATGTATATATAGAGTAAGCTTTTTGGCTCCCCAATATTACAAATGTCAAGGTTCTTTAGTCCTTAGATAACTACAAAACACCTCTAAAAGTGCTGTATTCAGTCCCAAAAGGCAAATTAACCCTGAACCCAAATGGGATAATCCCCTCTAAACATATGGCAGCCGCGCGGTTCAAACGAGGTGAAGCGCTTAACAAGCATTTGTAGAACCTTTTCTGGTTTATAAATATGTATGTCACCAAGCTGATTTATTTATAAACAAATCGTAAAAGACCCTAGAAATGCTTGTTATAGGATTACCACCAGAAGCATGGAAAGTTCTAAACACGGTGGCCCCGACTCTTCTCCGGAGGGGGCGCCTAAAGAGGCGGTGAGCCTTCGCCCAAGCGGAGCCGCGGCCCAGAAGGGAAGGCGGGCGAGGCCTGAAAGGCCATCCTGGGGTAAGTGAGGGAGGACCACGCTCCGCAAGCCCACGAGGCTAAGGGAGCAGCGGAGGGCTGGGGCTCCGGCTCCTCCGCGGTCCTCCGGGGGGAAGACGAGACGGCGTTGCCAGGCCAACGCGCAGCCTCCGAGGCCCCGGAACCCTCCGCGCGCGGCTGCGTTTTCCGACGGACGCATTAGGGACGGTCCGGCCCGGCTGCTCCCGGAGAGAACTTCCAAAGGACCCAACTCCAGCCTCCACCGGCGCTGGAAAAGGGCCGCTTGAAGATTCCCAAAATACGCGATTTACCACGGTTCAATCACACCTTTGATGGTAACTCATGGGCTTGAAGCTGAAGCAAATCAGACGTGAGAGGCAACTGGGGATTTTTACACTGACTGGATTCCCCGCCCCCCCTTCCCCAACGAATCGACAAATCCCGGGTTATTTCCAGAATCCCGGATAGTTGCCACCTTCCGTTTTCTTCTAAGCCGAGGCTGCCCCGGAGGATGAGTCGTGCAGCGGGGTTCGGCGGTGCTTGGTTACCCCGAACTTGGGTCGGGAACCGCGCCGAGGGGCAGAGTCCGCCCTCAACCCTCTCGTTCCGCACAGACCCCAGGCCTCCAGAAAATCGGCTTTCTCAGCTTTACCCTAGGATGGGCAGAGCTGGGAATCGATCCAGATTCCTCATTCCAGTCCTCTTTTCCGGTCTCCTGACTCCATCTCAGACCCAGAGGTGATGGGCACTCAGGGCTGGGGGATGGCAGAGGTAGAGGACAGGGTTTAGCTGTTACATTAGGCTTTCCCAAACTTAACATTTTGTAATTCCACTCCACGAAAGTGTATTGCGTCTCTGAGCACAAGGCAGTGTAGCGGGCATTGTGAGAAGAAATCTAAGACGAATCCTAAGCCGTCTCTGCCCTTAAGAAGATTACAAGCATGCTATAATTACATATAGGGCTGTATCTCTAAGGAGGACCCAACCATGGTTTTCTGTTTTTTTTGTTTGTTTGTTTGTTCGTTTTGTTTGTGTTTTGGTTTTTGAACTCTGGTCACCCTCAGATGGCCATTAATTAATTAATTAAAACCGAAATTGAAAGCGAGGAATAAAGGAGGAAGGCCAGAGGAAAAAAGAAAACTGGAGCTACTACCTGAAGCACTGTTAATTAAGAGCATTTGCTGAGTGCCTTCTGTAGGTAAAAGCATCATACTAAGGAGGGAAATAGAAAATAAATATAAAAAGATACGGTCTCCAACTGCAGTTTTCAATGCTCTTTGCTATGTCAGGGTATAAACTAAATAGCTAGTTGAGGCAAAATAAAAAAAAAAATTAAACGAGAACCTTAATATTTTTAACTAGAAAATTGCCTGATGAGCTAGTAGTTTGTATAAATTTTTAAAAGTTGTATATACATAATATATATATACTGAATACTCTTTCATGAGATGAGGTGATGGGTTTTAATTTTATATGCAAGTTACGGTAACTGGAAACAAGACAGATTAAGTAGTGCAGACGAAGAGACAAGATATTGCATACATGCAGAGGAAAGATGAATATTTATATCAAGGGTGTTCAAATATGGCAGTTTCTTCACTACAAAGAACTATATGCCTTGAAGCACAGTATGACTTAATTAACTTACGCTCTGATTAAACAAATTCGGAGTAAAACTTTCAATTGTCCCCAAGATCTGAAATGTTTTACAGCATCAGGGATAAAGAAAAGCCAATGTGTTTTTATTTTGGTAGATGTCATAATGTAATTGAAAAAGTTAAAGGGGGTGTGTATCAAGTGCATTTTTCCCCAAAGATCTAGCCATAAAATCTACTTTTTGAAAAAGGGGTTTTTTGCTTATTTAACAAAACCTACTGTGTTGAAATAATGTTCTGCTTTATTACAAAATTATCAATGATTTACACATCTTAATTTTCCGTTATGAACAATATTTGCTACTAAATGATGTCTTAAAGTTATAAATGTTTCCACAGTAGACTTTTAGGATGCTTTCTGGGGGGTGTGTTTCAGGTGCAAAATAATATGCAATAATTTGAGAGGTAGTTGGATCTGGAATTATAAATTAACTCCTAAAGTAAACAATTCATAATTAGCTCTTGAAGGAAAAAACTAGGAGATACTTTGTTTCTCTACATAACCATTCTCTTATGTAATAAGAAAACAGATACATATTAAATTCTGTTCGAGTTTTCAAAAGACAGTCTGAGATACTTGTGAATTCATTTTAATGTTTTTCTTTTCACAACCCCTTTCAAAAGTTTCTCAAATACACTTTAACTATGAATCCTGTAGTTTCCCCCCTTGCCGCTAAGGCCCTCGTCATATGTAATTTTGCCAATGATGCTTTAAAATAAGCACTAAAAGCGAGTGCACATTTTTAGAGTAATATACATATGTAGAGAGATCTATAGCATTAAATCAAACGCATGTTTCTCATGGAGCAAACATTTATGCGTAGATACTCTAGAGTAAAATGCCCTAGAAACAAAACGCACAACTATTTTCAGAGTAAAATTACTGTCATATCCGACACATAAAAACTGTCAGCAACTATTAGACATACAGCGGTTATCACTGAGAGCACACGCAATGTTTTGAATGTTTGAGAGCATAGCATTATTGTAAGGCTTTCTCAGCAAAAAAAAAATAAGACGAGCGTGCCTAGAGCAGCCAGTCTAATTAGGATTTGCAGAAATCACAAGTCGGAATTTGCAGACCCAAGAATTCTTTTTTCCAGAGTAAACACTCTTTACTCAACAGCAAAACAAGTCACCACCGAACAGTCCTTCCCTACTCCCTTCTCGCCAAAGTTATCTGGCAAATTTCGCACTTAATACTCTGAGAGGCACAAATATGCCTAAGACTTTTAAAACCGTGATCCAGAATTAAGCCGCAACAATCAGCGGAGGAGTTCAGAACAGACGTCCAACACCCCCTTTATAAATTATTCAAGCAGTTCAGAGAGAACCTGAAAAAGGAAGACTTTTCTCTTTGTTACGCTCCTGCCATCGGTCTGGAGCCGGGACCGATCCTCCAGGACTCCAGGGCTGGCCGGCGTGCTCCGGGGTCCCCGCTGGCGGACACGTCCCACTGCACCGCCCGAGCG